CTAATTTGGAAACGAGGAAAGCTAGAAAGCTGAGATTTTGAGGTTATGTTCCCCGCTCAAATTAGAACTGAAAGATTTCAAATTCAGACCCCAGATGCGCATGGTTCCCGCATACGGCCCAGTGAGGTTTTCTGGCGGGAAAATCGCCAACTTGAGAATCAGGAAAGTTGGGAGGCTGAAATTTTAAAGGGGTGTTTCCAGCCCACATAGAATTTAAAGATTTCGAACCCATCTCCCAGGTATGCCTCCAGGTCACGCGCGACCCCGTGAATGTTTGTCAGGAAAATTGCTAACTCGCGAAGCAGAAAAGCTGGAAAGATGAAATTTCAGGAGAATATTTCCCGACCAAATACAACTTAAAGATTTCAAATTCAGCCTCCAGATACACGTGGTTCTCGCGTTCAGGCACTTAAATTTTTGGCAAGAAAATTACTCATTGAGCAGCTGAGTCATTTTCAAAAAATGACCGCTAAACGGAAATTATTCGTTTATGCAAAATTTACGATGGTCTACGGTACTGCACGCACAAGGTAAGTGTGAAGGAACATCCACTCATGCAGTTGACCTAATTCAAGTTTGGTGCAAAAACGCATGGTCGCACCGGACCGCCTGGTGTGTTCCAACCTGGGTTTTATTATGAAGCATAAACAGTGGATTCTGATAACACGAATTATTTAAAATACTGAAACTGCAGTGTGAAGCTTTTGGCATGAACGGATTTAGTTCTATTTATTTAGAAGTTGTCGGTCGTGGAGCAACAGAGTTACATTTTAGACTTCTTCGGTTTCCAGTGCCCCACCGTAGCCGAACGGCGCTCAGCGTCTTCATATTTCGACGATGGTATCAAACCGAGCGTTTCTCGCACTTTAACGTTCTCTGGACATTTGGCTCGCCCAATACAATAAATGATGGAATAAAAAATTGACATAAATAAAAGTTCCTTGGGCGCTGCTTAAATAACAGATTTGAACCACTAAAACTGAAAAGAATGGTTGCCGTAACTGACGATAAAATACTGCAATATTTATCCAGTTCTGCTGTCGAGGCGATTTGAGTTTGAATATTTCCAGGAAGGTATATCAGTATTATCAGAACTGATTTGGCATCTGGAGACATATGATGTAACATCAGTGCGAGCTTCCACACCGATGTATTTCATGTCCCGGAAGATCGCCGAACTGGGTGTCAAGGTGGTTTTGTCCGGGGAAGGTGCTGATGAAATTTTTGGCGGCTACCTATATTTCCATAATGCTCCAAATGATGATGAATTTGAGAAGGTTATAAGTTTTCACAATTTTTCAAAATGCTTAAGAAACAGTATTGCAACATTATTCTGAAGAGGCTTCTGAAAAAGGGACAAGAAGCACTGACAATGATCGTTGGTACGATCATTGTTTATTTCGCATAGTTATCTCT